AGCGCTGGCAGATGACCTTCAGAGCAGCACAGCAGAGAGTTCATACGCATAATAGAATAAAGATATAACATTACCCTTTTAAAACACAAAGTTCAAAACAGTCTTGTTAGGAAAAGCAAGCTTTTTCTAATAAGAAACCGTTTCAGAAATGGCAACTTTTTTTTGCGTGAATCAGAAATCATAGGTTGAACTGCATAAACAACCACTGCAGTGGTTTTCCTGATTCATTTAACACATTCTAGCAGAATCCCATTCTTCATCCGAAGCTTTCTTCATGGTAAAAGTCTACTTTTTGCCACTATAAGATTTTAATCTCTGCTTAGAAGGTTGTTGTTTTAGCCTGTTTTGAGATTCTGTTTTGCATGAGAGATTCTCATAAAACGCGATAACACAACTACTCCTCCTTGCAACTTTGGCAAGTTCAGCTTTTATAAATATACTTTTTCTAAAATGTTATCTGAAATGGTAAAGAAATGTGACAATATAATGCTACAACTATAATGAGCACTGCTGCTTACTGTCATTATCTGCTCTGATAGCTGACCTTAATCACTCATTTCACCCACCTGCCTGGTCTGCCCAGTTCCTAATCATCTCTGATCTCATCCACCTGTAAGTTCTGCCTTATATTCAGTCCAGCCCAGCTATCGGGGCCAGATCATTGTTAGTTTTCTGTTGTTTCCCTGTTTGATTTCTGTTAGTGTCCTGTCTTTTTGAGCCCATGTCTTTAGGCTGCTTTTAATTCCTAACTAGTGGTGAGAGCGTTTCATCACTTCCCCAGTGATTCTGTTTTCCTGATTCTACTCCCTCTCATCCATGCATATCTGTTTGATTTCTGGATGCTCTATGTCTTCACGGTCTGTTGGATTCCTGGAACCCGGATCTGTTTGTTTCTGAGTGGATCAGAACTCCTGATCTGACTGCTGACTCCTGGATTCCAGTATTGCTCCGATCTGATCTGAGTCCCTGTCCTGGATTGGAGTCTGCTTGCTTACTGGGGTTGCTGCATCGGGGAAGCTCTGGAAGGCTCAGGGCCGCTTCTGGTTGGCTGTGCATCGGCTTATCCTGCCTAAGCTTGAGAGGATGGCTGAACTGCTAAACCAGGTAAGTGACTCACTCTGATAATCATCCCCTGTACAGATGATTGGTCACGTACCTGTGTTTCTCCCTAAACCAGAGTGTCAGTGATTGGGCGGTGCCCCGCCGCAGCGTGCTTTTGTTTGTTTTTATTTAAATAATCGTATTGAAGCATGCTGATGAAGATTCTCAGATATCCAGGTCATAGTCATTCTGTAAAAGTTTAAAAAAACAATCCACTGGACTTGGTTTCCAAAGGAAACCAAGTCCAGTGGATTGTTTTTTTTTTCCAGTGGAAAGTTTTTTTTAAACTTTCTAGTTTCTTCCTGTTTGTGGCCAGGAGTGTTTGCATAGCATCTGTATCACTGCTGCCATATTAGAAAAGTTGTTATATTTAGCAACCTACCTTCTATTCTATCTTTTCCCGCTTCATCTGTCAGAGTGGCGGTGGGGCCAGTGCCTATCTGCCGCTTTCTGTGGGTGAGAAGCGCAGCTACACCCTGGACAGGACGCCGATCTGAGGCATGGACAGAGTTGTGATAAATTGGGGGCAAATCATGGTATCAAATTTGCATGCAAAAAAATTCCAAAATGTGGTGGACTGAAGTTGACGTGTGCATTTTAAATAAAACTACTTCATTAGTATTTTTTACAGGTGCGGACTTTTTGCAGAATTTCATCTAACAACACTTAATGGCTGAGCAGCTGTTCCTTATCGGCTCCACTTTGTTTTAAGACCACTTACAGCTGATAATTAAGAAGATACCTTATTTTGACTTGTTGCAGGTAACATGCAATCAGAGAACCATTGAGTTTCTTAAAGCAACACATCCTTGTAAATGTTTATAAATTAATTTTATATGCGTGGCTATGGAAGTATCTGAGTTGGATTATTTGGATGGGTAAGCAAATTTTAGCAATATACAACTTATATTGTACTATTAGGTAATAGTATTACCAAGGATGTGTCGATGCCAAGGGCACAGACTTCTGCCTTCAAGCTGATCTGCAGGGAAAATTCCTTTTTAGATGACATACAAATAAAAAGGTAGTTTCTCCAGTTATCTGTTGCCCAAGTGTGAAATAATCTCAACAGTCAAGGTAAAACCAGATAAAATGCAGTGGAAATGCAGAATTTTATTAGTAAGTGGACTTATATTAACTCTCCACCGAGGTTTACTGAATCAGGAATATAACGTTTTATGAAAATATTGTTAAATCTTTTTGCACCAAGAGGCAGTTTAAGAATAATTTTCAACATTTACCTAATATAGAAAACACAAAAGTGAAAAGGGTGACAAACTTTAAGTTTTCACTTCTTTATTGTCATGTAAATCAGAACATCATCAGCCATGCAAGGTGAGATTCTCTTCTCCAGTTCAATTATCCACATCTAGCAGTTTTATTTCCACATAGACAGACCATAATATTTCTTTTGAGTCAAACCAAGGGTTGCTTAAACCAAACATTTTCCATATTTTACCATTCCAAAATCAGAACACTGTCATTTTGATAAATATTTCTCATCATGTCCACTAGGGGGCTTACAGTGTAATAGTCGGCTGTTTCAAACAGATTTCCTCCAGCTGAAGCAATTCCTTGCTAAATTAGGAATCCCGTCATCCTGCAGACCTCTGATCATCTTGTTTGGGGAAATTTTCTCACATTTGAAATCTTTGGTCAACCTGAAGCTTGGAATTCTGACGAGAAGTCGTCTGTCAGAGGCAAAAGTCCCAAACATGACATTGACCTCTGGAGGAACCCAGCTTGACACATTTAAAGACGCACAAGGAGGTGTGAAATTCAGCCACACAAGGTGGCTGTAAAACTGTTTTCATCTATAAGCAAGTAATCTGTTTTTTTGTTATTTTTTTGTGCAGTCGTTTAGTTTCCTTATTTATGCATTTGTTATTTATGGTAAGACCATCAGAGTTTTTTGTCACCACATAGAAAAAGTAATTCATTTGGTTTTAGATCAATTTGGAGGGAAAGTAAGTAAAATGGAAGAAAATAGATATTTTACAAAGTTTAATTATTATAATTAGAAGAATAAAGTAATTGCTAAAATATAGACAAAGTAATGTTTGAACCTGTTGTTCACACATAAGGTTTGTATCAGACATGGATACTATTAGTTAGTTTAAAGACTTTATTATCAAATGTCTTTCAGGAGGAGGTTCTGAGTTTGGTACCAAATTCCAGGACAACGTAGGAGAAAAGGTAAGTGATTAATAAGCAGCATTCATCTGCAGCTCTGATTGAAAACTATCCACTTCCCATCCAGGGAAAAACTTCCAGAATGGGAAGTGAAACATCTTCAGACTTGGAAACAAAGTCCAGTGGACTGTTTTTTTTTCACTCTTTTGGAATGACTATGACCTGGATGACTGAACCTTCACCACCGTTCTCTGCATGTTCACCCATCCTCTTGGGGAGCAGTGGGCGGCCATTGTGTGGTGCCCGGGGAGCAGTGTGAGGTTAAGAGTTCTGCTCAGGGACCAGAGTATAGGCTGTGGAGATCAAACCGGGTACTAGGAACCTTCTGCTCTAACCACTAGGCCTACACTCCCACTTACAATTTTAAAACACAGCAATCTTTTTCTATGTAGGTGTTAATCTGTCATGTCTGCACTTGCCTGCATGGTCAAACAGATAGGAAGGGCTTGTACAAGATTTTAACCCAGGATCTCTCGCAACTTAAAGCCACAGGGTATGCCTGGCATTCAAGAACCTTTTAAAATGCTGGCATACACTGTTCTTTCAAAGTAATTTGGGGCATATACATAGCGTATTCATAACAAGTCTAGAACGTATGTCCACTGACAGCCTAAGTCATGCTTAACGCATGGCAGCGTAATCCCCAAGAAATGTCACAAGCCACTGTCCTGAGGGGGGCAGCAATGCGCCCGGAGGTGCCTGACTTAACCTGGCTGCTGTTTACCACCCACCAAAAAAAAAAAGATTAAGTAAATGAATAAATAAAAAGAAAAAATAAAGGCGGTTTGCAGTCACAGTTGCTAGGATGTTTGTTGGCTGTAGCCGTGGGCGTGAACGCAGGGAGGATCCATCACACTAACCTTCTGACTCACCCTATGATGAGGATGAAGTCTGGAAGAGAACTGACAGTTTCCTCCTGTGAACCCCCTTTATACCAAAACACTACCAATGCGCCATTAAACAGTAGCTGTAAGTTAGAAACACGTTCCACGGTCGTCTGGAACACGTCATATATTTTGATATATACGTTGAAGATAAGTTCTTGATAAGTTACGCATACATCATGCTCAAGTTACTCATAGTTGTTGGATAAGCTAGACTCCACAAAATATGAGTAACTTAAACTTAACGTATGTTATTACCCACGTATGAATATACGCTGGCACATCCTTGCCGTATGTTGACATGTGGCAGCGTACTTCAGCTTGCTTAGGCGTACTTCAGCATGCTCATTACTTAACCAAGTTATGCCAGCGTTTTGTCAGACATATGCTGGCAAAATCGTCAAGGTGTGACAGTTGTTTAAGCGAGAATCATACCCCTGGACCAAAAAGCCCTGGATATATCTAACAAATACTGCAGAATGGGAGAATAGAGATAGAATGATGAAAAGGGGTTCCTATGTCCTTCAGCAGTCTAAGCCTACAGTATAGCAGCCTAACCCATGTAGGAAGAACAACAAAGTGTTCTGTTGAAACACAACTGGTTAATTTACTCCAAAATCCAATACATTATGGGTGGACCTTTAGAGTTTCCAAATAAGGAGTGCTAAATTGCTTGAGCAAAACAAAAAAGAAAAAGAAAATATGAGTGCGCACTTAACATGCCTTCAGGATCTATGGATAACTGATGTAGAAGTTCTTTTTTTATTTAAATAAGAAGACTGTATGTGTTACAATCAGTGTTGAAGTGGTCTTATAAGAAAAAAAAAGTTCTAGACTAAGTTGGAGGTTATAATAACAATAATAATTATTATTATTTATTGGACTTATCATAAAGTTCCGTAAAAATTCAAAAAATATCCTCTGGACTTGGTTTCCAAGATTTGAAGACGTTTCTCCACCTCTCCTTTTTTGTAAATTGAAATAAAAAAATGCAATCCAGAAACTTTGAAAAAAATGTCTATCAAAAAAAGATTTTTAAAGTAACGTTGCAGTTTTCTTAGATTTCATACTGTTGTTTCTGCTGCTACATCCTAAAATCAATCGAGGAGGGCTATGGCTACATGATGGGTAAATACAGCAGCGCTTCAGCTCATGCTTCGTCTTGTTCTCAGACTCATGTTAGGATCAAGGGGAAACTTTGGAAATTGTTGAGACACTTGGTTGACCAAAAAAACTTGTTATATTTATAGATGAGCTATGAAGAAAAAAACATCAGCACCGTGTGAAAGAGGCAGCGGCTTCCTTGGTTGTTGACACATTTCAGATTGGACCTATTTAAAACTGATATTCTGCTCGCCTGCATCGCTGATGCTGCATGATGCAACATCTGCAAAAGATGATAAAAGCCCTTATTTATCTTCTAACAAAAGTTGTTGTGTCTGAAAACATGACAGACAACTTAGCAGAGAACCAGTTTTAAATTAGATCTTGAGGCTCTTTGTTTCAGCAGCAGCAGCTCACAAAGACAATCTGTTCCGCTACCTTTGATTAAATCTGTGAAAAATTGCAGAGATAACTCAGTTTAACAGACAGAAAATAGGGTTTTGCTTTAAATAAGTTATTCCCAGGGTTCTGGTGTCAGTATATCTTGCTCCTGACAGAATATGCATCTCTTAGGTTTCTGTTTTAGATCTTCTAGATGTGGATTTGTTAGGTAAACACTTCTTTTAACTACATTTTTCCATCTGTGCTCATTGTTAATGACTGCTCTGCATGATAGTTGTGTCAAAAGGACCAAACGGAAATTATTGAAAAGCACAGAGGAGAATCTTTAGCCATAATTTAAAAGTCTGGAAAACTATTGATCAAGATCATTTTAGAAATTACATGATAGAACAGTGGTGACTGGCCAATAAGAGGGCGTTAAAGCGCTGCCCCACTCACCCAATGACCCTGATTAAGACATAAAAAAACAAAATACAAATAAAATTATGCATAAAAATATTTCGAAATATATTAATATCTTTTATAAACGAGCAAGATAATTATTTTAACTTTAAGGACAAGTAAAGCATTTTTCGCGGATTGGTGACGTATTTCCGCCCTGGGGCGCAAAAATCTTTGCCCATAGAAGGTGTGTCTGATTTCAGAGGCTGCATAGACTGCAGTTTTCCATAAAGACCCAGATGAACATGGATCTCAGAGACCAAAACTATGGGCCGGATTTATCAAGATCCAATTTTGCCTGCAGTAATTTGCGCTCGCAAACTGGAATTTTGCGCGAGGGGCTGAACCATGGTTTGCGGGTGATTTAACAAGAGTGATTGCGTAACTGGTGGCAGGTGCAAAACTGTTGGAGATGCCCTATTTAAATGATGGTTTTGCGCGTTTTGTGGTTTGCGGCAAAGTAGTTTGT